TTAGTACGCCGCAGGTGATAACTTATGTACTCTTAACGATATGATGGCATGAGTGAAACATATGAAAACTTATGGAATAGAAAAAAAAACATGTCTATAGTTCATATTTATTCATTTATTTAAAATTTTATGACACAATATCGCAGAGCAGTGCAAATGGTGAACTTAATGCCCTGTGGCGTTCTCTTCCAGTCAACCTTACAATAAAATAATGCAATTTCTACTTATTTGTAGGAATTCTTCGCGAGTTTGGCGCAACGCATGGGCAGATTCAAGAAAGGCGGAGTGCCAGATCAAGAAGCGGCTGCTAGGATTCTGCTCAATGACTGGAATACTGGCAAGGTATGTACAAAAATTGGAATTTAATCTTTTTTTAATTTGCAAGGTTGTTCTTCGATTTACAAGAGCTTAATCCTGAAATGTTAGATCACATTTTACCATTTTGATGTACTAGTTAACTAGATTTTGAGCCATGTAGAAAATCAATCTAAATTAATCTGACCTGTGACGAAAGTGTAATAAAAATCTTGAATTGAGCCTACTTGTACCTACATAAAGAAAATCGTTAGCGTGAAATAGATTTCAACGGTTTTAGGGTTTTCACACTACAAACACCTACTGTAGGTATTTACAAAACTAACAATTTCTATTAGCACGGAAAATCCCTCCGCCAACCCATGATCTTACCTGCCTCACGGCGTACGAACCGAATATCAGGCATAGGTACTGCTCGAGAATCTTTTCCCTTTGCGCCATACTTCACTCCCTACAAATTTATCTATACTGTCCCTTCGTGTTGAACATGAATATAAAGAAATTCATATCTAAAGAAAGAAAGAAATAGAATTTATTGAACACAGTAAGCACAAATTATAAACAATAACAACTCAAAATGAATATATAAAATAGTGGGCCACTGTGTCAATAGGCTCCCGCTCAGCATTTATCCTGACATGCTCGTAAGGGCATGTCAAGAAACTGGTCTTCCGTGAGAGCCCTTGTTGTGGCTTCGCGCATCCCTTCAGAGAGACATCAGACAGACTATCTAACATAACAAGTTCAGTTTTAAAAATATCCTCTTATCCAGGTCCGCTACTTCACGGAGCCGCCATTGACGCCCGATTCAGAAGTGCACGTGGACGCGAAGATTGTGTCTGCGGCTGCCCAGGAGTTCGACATCAACGCCTTCGAGGCCATGGAGACGGATGCCATGAACGAACTCAGCGCCAATGTTGCTGAAATTGAGCCTATCAAGGTAAGGTTAGGGACTGGAATTCGCTGCGTGCTGCTGTCTTTCCCGAAGACGAAGGATTATAGGCGAGAGTGAATAGGCACTTACAGGGCAGATATGTACCATCCTAGACTGCATCCCACTATACAGTGTGTCCGGGCATGTAGTGATCAAACTTTAAAGGCGTAATCTATGGACAATTTTATCGATGAAAATACTTCAAATTTGGGGCCTGACCCATTTCTCGAAAAATTACATCGATTTAAGTTTTTAATTTTTAGTTTTCACCTCTTCTTTAAAAAACAAGTGAAAGCGTGGGTAGCTTAACATTAATAGGCAAATATTTTATATCATGCGATAGCCAATAAAATTATCTATTAGTAGAAGAAGAAAACAGACACAAGTTTCATACATTTTATGGGAGTAAGAATGGATTTAATTAGAAAAATACATTACTTTTTTCACTTCTTTTTCAGTTATTTTCCAACACAAGAAAAACCAGGTCGTTAAGGTATGTTTTATTTCCATTGTATTTTTAGTATTTGAGCTATTCTACAAAACGAATGTAAATTTATTAGTCTACGTCTATTAGTTTCGACGTAATTGTTGAACAAAGATACCCCTTCCCAGCGGTTTCCATAGTAATCGGAATAGGTTGTGTGATTCTTTCAGGCAGTGTATTTTCGCATGTCGCGTGCGCTATGGAAACCGCTGGGAAGGGGTATCTTTGTTCAACAATTACGTCGAAACTAATAAACGTAGACTAATAAATTTACATTCGTTTTGTAGAATAGCTCAAATACTAAAATAAAACATACCTTAACTACCTGGTTTTTCTTGTGTTGGAAAATAACTGAAAAAGAAGTGAAAAAAGTAATGTATTTTTGTCATTAAATCCATTCTTACTCCCATAAAATGTATGAAACTTGTGTCTGTTTTCTTCTTCTAATAATAGATAATTTTATTGGCTATCGCATGATATAAAATATTTGCCTATTAATGTTAAGATACCTACGCTTTCACTTGTTTTTTAAAGAAGAGGTGTAAACTAAAAATTAAAAACTTAAATCGATGTAATTTTTCGAGAAATGGGTCAGGCCCCAAATTTGAAGTATTTTCATCGATAAAATTGTCCATAGATTACGCCCTTAAAGTTTGATCACTACAAGCCCGGACACACTGTATAACATCAGGTGCGACTGTGGTCAAATAACTGCTTTGTTATGCATAAAAAAAAATACAAAAAAAAGTTGTGTTATATTAGTTGGTTTTATTCAAATGTCGTCCACTGCTGGAAAAAGGTCTATCAAAGATTTCATTCACTGATTCCTGCATCAGATCTTGGTCCACCGAGTGAGCGGACATTACATTTACCAGTCCGTAGTCGCCACTCGAGAACTTTCAGTCATTTTACTATATAGTTATATGCCCTGTATACATTGGATTCAACGTCCATTTTGAGTTATGGTTTATTAGACATGAACTCGCGTCTAAAGAACGCAGTGATAAAGTAAAATAAAAGCTATATTTATTTGCGCGCAAGTATCTTCGTACTGCGCCTGCACGGGATTCTCATTGCCATGTCACCGATAATTCGCACGAGCTAGACATTATCGAATTCACTTGAGTGTGCTCAAATATTTTTTCACTCGTTTCAGAAATACCAAATTTGCATTTTATCGCCAACTAACAAGCATTAATTTCCCACAGATAACCAGCACCGGGCCTGTGACAATTAACGACGGCATGCAGGTCGACGAAGACGAATCCAGCATACTCCCTAAGTCCTTGAACATACGGTCGAAATTAGACAAAAGCAACAAGCAGAATGAACGCACGAAATCCGACCCAGAAATGGCAATAGAAGGCAACACTAAACAGAATAAATTAAGGAAAATGCAGTTCAAGAAAGATAAGAAGAAAAGAGCAAGAAATGAGAAGGTAGCAGGAAATTTAGCTGATGTTTTAGAAAACGTAACACTGACATCCATTAAGAAAAAAGATGACTATAATTTTAAAGAGGACTTTTCGTTATAGAAGATATATCACATTGTATTGTTGAATTTAAGGAGCAAAGAGTGTTAATATATCTTTCCGTTTTATAGTTATATACCTCTCACACTGATTCTGTAATTACATCCAAGAGGAATAAGATAGTTCTCTATCATTCATACCGTCACACTTCCACAGTGATCATATTTATAAAATCATAAATAAATTAATAATACAAAGTGAAGTTTTGTGTTTAATTAATTAGTTTCCTAGTTTTCTGGGTTTCTATTAAATTTTTTCCCGTTTCCATCTATCGAAAATGAGATTATACCTATAGGTTGCAAGGAAAAAGGTCTTTTCAAAACAAATACATAAAATATTAAAAGAAACATTTAACCTTAGACCGAAGAAACTTATAATAACACGTTCACAGTTCAACCTATGGGTAGGTATTGGTCACTTGGCAATAATAACATCGTGAATGAGATGCATTATCTCTCCTCCACAAAATGATTTAGCGCAGGCAGATAAGAAATATACTTACATACTTACCTACTAGCCTAGGCGCAAATCAATTATTCCCTTCAGTCAGAACACGATAAGGAAAAAAATGCGTAGAGCATCTGGCATTATCCCCATCCCCATCGATGCCTCAGATCCCAAATTCGTACCTATTCCCAAAAATTTCATCTGCCACGATAAGGTATAGTCGCGCTCGCGCACCACAATAACAAAATAGAGATTATGCTCAACGCTTCCCGAGGCTGCAAGTTTGAATTCCACAAGGCCTAAAGAGATAGTTATAAGAATAAATCATCAATAAAATCTAAGTTGTGAGAGAGTCCCTTCTTAGTGTATTTTTGAAAAGGCTAAATAATGGCTAGATAAGATTAAGCAATATTAGGTATTAACCTGATTAGCTTACAGACAAAATTCTGCCGTAATTAAAAAATTAATTAAGTTTTTTATTAGCGAGTAATCAGTAACATTATATCGCCAGGCGTTTTTACTTTCAGGACCACGTCATTGTTTGGACAGTTTTGCGTTAATTAGGTACCTACTTATTTAGTAATTAGTAATAACATTTACGCGGTGGTTGTAAAAATGCACGTTATCTTTTACGCCACTCACTACCACGTTACTCCATCCACGTAACTTCACGTAACATAGCTGTCCCTATCTCCTTTTCACCACAAGCTATTGCTATTTTTATCTCTTTTTACTAGCATGCACTCTGCAACATTTTAATGGCGCGCAATTTTGAATGATGTTCATATCGATATTTACAAAGTAGAACACATACCTGCTAAAATGTTAGTAAATATTGATTTTAAATGTGTAAAAATTATGCTAATGTTGTTTTCTTTATTATTTTTAAAGATTTTCAAGTTATAATCATCTAAATATCATATTTATTTGAAGAAAACCTGTCAATGAAAAATATTTCCGCGAAAATTTTGTATTTTACCGCCAAATGATGCAGTCACTCGGGCTAGTGTGTTCAATTCTTATTTGTTGATGGCCTGCCAATCACAGCTTTCCATCTGTCTGTCGTAATTCTACGTCAAACGTCGAAACTTTCAATTTTTTATCTCTGTCACACATATGTATTCTTATGGTGAGGCGTTTATAGTTTTGTCTTTTTTGCACGATTACGAAAAGTACCGATGTTTTGTTGTCATCCTTTTTACTTTTATGTATAGTGGTACTATATGAGCAGGATAGAAGTATACACGAAATTAACAAACCGGTCGGAATAATAGACGGGAATTCGCCGATTTTTGTAGTTATTCGTGGCCAGTGCTTCGCAAGTGAAGGAGTGTCGTTGTGAATCAAAATGAAATCCCTAGTTTTAGCTTTTGTCAGTTTACTGGCAATTTATTCTGTAAATTGTGAAGTGTTTTTCGAAGAGAAATTCCCCGATGGTAAGTATTATGTATTTAATTCAGAAAATCCAATTGATAAACGATTACGTGTACTCAAGCCGGCTTTGGGTGCCGCGTGTGCTATCGATTCCGTAACTACACCGGTTTATTTTGGGGCGATTCTTGCTAAATACTATTTGTTTTACTTTCAGACTCATGGGAATCCAAATGGGTATACAGTGAGCACCCTGGGAAGGAGTTCGGCAAGTTCAAATTGACTGCTGGAAGCTTCTACAACGACCCCGAAGAAGATAAAGGTATGTATGCGTGACTGGGTGTTCCGAGCCTGCACTGAAACCATAAAAGTATTTGAATTCATCAGTTAATTTCATCTACATCGATCATCCATAATTATACATTAGTCAGTTTATAATCAGGAAGAAGTAGGTATGATTTTTCTATCATGATTAGGCATTTTAAAGTAACTTACAAGTTATTTAAAGCTCTTTTTCCGCAGTAAGTCTATTTTCGGTTCTACTGCGTTATAAAGCATATAAATAGCTTTGAATTTCACAGTCTTACTCACAAAGAAAATATTTCCATTGTCTCACAGGTCTAAAGACATCAGAAGATGCCAGGTTCTACGCTCTGTCTACTAAGTTCAAGCCGTTCAGCAACGCAGGCAAGCCTCTAGTGATCCAGTTCTCCGTGAAACATGAGCAGGAGATCGACTGCGGTGGTGGCTACATCAAGGTGTTCGACTGCAAGTTGGACCAGAAGGACATGCACGGAGAGTCCCCCTACGAGATTATGTTCGGCCCTGACATCTGCGGTCCTGGTACCAAGAAGGTATGTCTTTTTTAATATTGATAATTTTCTTATCATTATGATATAGCCGATGCAGTAACCTGGTAGGCGGATCGTTGGGAGTTCAAGTCATATCTGAAGTTGTTGATTTTAGGCAAAAATAATACTTTTAATAAAATTAGTATCTCATGGTTCCATCCATTACTTATATTTAGAGTTGTATCTAGTATTCTGTATACCTGCCTTGTTATCTTGTAAGAGTTGACAATAAGTCATTCAAAACTAAAATCCACAAAGTTTAATGGCAACAACATTCTTTGTCAATTGTTTAAAATTAAGAGATAGACAATGCACCAACACTTATTGTATTTGCTCAATGAGTCACAATCAGAAAGATTTGAACAATAAAGAGTACATGAAACTTTAATTTCTTTTAACTGGGCACAATAGTTTTTGTTTTACCAAAAATTTTGCAATATTACCTAAGTTACCACGTCAATGAGTTTCGCTCATTTTAATTTATGCATGCCAATTTCCAATACTTAAGATACACTAGATTCATTATCTGTCTATCTTCTTCAACTTCTAAAAGTACCGCTATATGTAAACCTCGAACTTTGAGCTGCAATTAATTAAAAAATGTATTTTACTTCAGATTGTAGGTTTATTTCAATTACCTACCTAGCTACTTAAAATACTAATAAAAAACATGTTGTTGCTATGGATGTGTAAATTTCAACTACATATTTCAATATTTTATTGTTTTGCTCATTGAACCGACAAATGTACATGTATGTTTTAAAAATTCATTGCATGCCATGTTAACGTCTAACCTTGGTTGATGATCATTATCAGGTACCTGTAACGGAAACATTTTAGTGTTTTATGTTATCAATCCTTGTAAAATTTTACAATGGTGATATATTTATAATTTCAATTACCTATACCTAGATGTTTTGCTAGGAAGGAATTTTTAACTGTCGTTATGCACTTAAACCCCCGATTTAAATACTTAGATTGTTGTCTGGAAAAAAAGTTGGTACATCACTAAAGTATGTGAATTATTAACATTCCAATTACTTATTGCCACATCATCTAGCAACTATAAGTCTATGTAATTAGTATGCTTCAACATAACATCTGCTGTAAAAAAGGTAATTTAAATAATACATGAATATTAATAATCCCAAGGTCACCTATTAGCTTCTTAAGTATTTAAAGTCACATTGATACATCATTTGTTCAACTGTTAAATTTAATTATTTTCAATTTTTTATGGTTTGACCTTAAAAAAGTTCTAGATAAACGTCATATTTGCACATCTACTGCAATAACTAGACATTTAATAAATAATTAAATCAGATAATAAATATTTATCAAATGTTTGTCAAATATGTATATTTTTATCAGTATTTCCAATAGGAAAATTTAAGAGTAATTCATTATTTTAGGCTGACGAGATGTATAGTTAATTAAGGCTATTTTATCATTAATGCCTATCCAATTAAAGAGAAACCAACCATTAACGAGTAGATTAGAAGCCCTGCTATTAGCAGGAAGGAACTCGATGCGTTTAGCATCTATTGTACAACAAACATTATCCTATAATTCATTTTTGAAATGTTTCTAGTTGTATTGATTACTGTACACTAATAGATCTTTTGAGTAACACTAAAGTAATGTTAGATTTACTTGGAGGCTTAAAGTTCAAACTTACACTATTTTTAGTCTAAAATACTTTCAATTTCAATGTTCAAACATACCTACATGCTTAAATCTTCTGATGTCAATTCATACTAGTCGTTGTTTCAAAGTACGGGTTATAATAATTAATTCATCATTCAAATTAGAAACTAACTTACAGCTAAAAAAACGTCACGACAACTTTCCATTTTTTGCAGTCTGACCACTTTCGGCTTGTATGACTCAATCATTTCAGTCAGATTACAAATCTATATTGTACATAGGATAAGTTCACATTGAACATGCCCCTCACATTTTCCCCGCGTAAAAATCATACAAGGGAATTCTATACCACTTCTCTAAGCAACCTTTATAGTAGGCTTACATTGGAGGCAAAACTGTAGGTCCTGGTTACACAGGAGTTGCAGTGGTAAAGGCACGTGGCATTTCGTCCGTATTCACAAACGATGCTTGCTTAAGTAAAGCCGCAAATCGAACGTACAGCGTTGAATAGAGCTCTGATTCGTTCGTGTGTCACCCTGTGCGTCCACGCGCACTTTGAGACTTCATACACCTACATAGTAATGTTTGTTAATACGGGCGTTAGTCCCGCTTCTACCACTTCCGAACCCTGCAGGCTGGACAATTACCAAAATTAACAAACCACTCGTCCTCAGGTCCACGTGATCTTCAGCTACAAAGGCAAGAACCACCTCATCAAGAAAGACATCCGCTGCAAGGACGACATCTACACCCACTTGTACACGCTGATCGTGAAGCCCGACAACACCTATGAAGTCCTCATCGACAACGAGAAGGTCGAGTCTGGTGACTTGGAAGCCGACTGGGACTTCCTCCCGCCTAAGAAGATCAAGGTTGGTATCTAATTTCTTTTTTTGCAGGATATTTGGATAGATAGCTTCCCCAACCCAGTCATTGTGGGGAGTGAAGATCTCTCCCAATAAATTACAGAAGTCTGTCTCCTACAGTGGAGATATAAACAATCTGATAATGATGATATGGATATTAACAATATCTTTGCTCATTTCATATGCATAAATCTCAAATTTCACTTTCTATTGTCTAGTTTTATAGGCGACATTGGTTTCAATTCAAAGTTGCAATAGATTGCTACAACACATCATGTTTTTCGTGTCTAGATGGCATAAATGTAACTGAATTGTTCATACTGATTGCTACGACGTATACGTATTTTTATATCTTTAAATCGAGTGAAAAAACTTTTATACGTAATACTGCTATATTTACAGCCTCTAACATGGGTTTAGTTAGCATCATACTTTTTAAACCATTATTATAAAATGTATCCTGCAATGACCACACAAAAAGCTGTACTTACACAGATAAGGGTAATCGAACCACACCATCACCTAACCCCAAACCTATCCCCAGGACCCCGAAGCCAAGAAGCCCGAAGACTGGGACGACCGCGCCACCATCCCCGATCCCGACGACACCAAGCCCGAAGACTGGGACAAGCCAGAANAGCCAGAGCACATCCCCGACCCCGATGCTGCCAAGCCTGACGACTGGGACGATGAGATGGACGGCGAATGGGAACCTCCCATGATCGACAACCCAGAGTACAAGGGCGTGTGGGCTCCTAAACAGGTAAGGAGATTTATTTAACGCTATCGCGTAACGGTAGCGATTTTTATTTTCTTAGCAACCCTGATAGGTGTTATATTTTTCTAGTCTATGTCGCAGCAAGGAAATACTGCACCCAATAGTTAAAAAAGAGTGCGCATTAACATTTTTTTCGGTTATTTGAAACTTTTTTATCTCTATTTTGACTCTCGTTTTACTACCGATTTTGAGAAAATTCTAAGGATACCACAAAGTAAAAGTGCTTATTTCTCACGTCTTACTGAAAATGTTACTTTATCGGAACAGTAGTTAGTTAGGCTTAGGACGATATATTAAATACTCATGCCCTAAAAAGCTGTTTATTGAACTTCCCGAGATTTCGCGCCTACGTCACAGACGTGTCAAATTAACGCCGGCGCGCTAATACGGCGCACGCGCATGGTTTGTTCACCTCGCTAACGGTTGTTGACGTTACTATAAAGGCGACATTACACAAGTTCCGGTCAACGGCCTAGGTACTCGTTACTCACACGTTTCAATAAAAAAAGTCCATGCTTTCATTTTTTCAAATAAAAATATTTGCAAGTCATGAAATATCTTTGTCTTCGGTTTCACGCGGAGTTATTTTTAATCAAACAAAGAAGTTACATTTCAGTCTTCCTCATTATTTCCGGAGCATTTATTATGTTACTAGTTTTTGCGCGCGGCTTCGTTTGCGTCTCACTTTCAAAATGTGGGATAATAACTAACTATCCTATGTGTATTTCTCATTGATCCTTTCTCACTCAATCAATTTATTGATGAAAATCGCATGAAAATTTACATTATGTAGCATTTTACCAGAATACAAATGCCCGTATTTAGACTTACAGCATTTTACCAGAACACAAAAGCCCGTATTTCGCCTTACAGCATTTTACCCAAACCGTTCATCTTTCCAGATCGACAACCCTGCGTACAAAGGCCCCTGGATCCACCCAGAGATCGACAACCCTGAATACACGCCTGACGCGAACTTGTACAAGCGGGATGAGCTTTGCGCGGTCGGTCTTGACCTGTGGCAGGTCAAGTCTGGCACCATCTTCGACAACTTCCTGTTCACAGACGACCCGGAAGCCGCTAAGGAGAGGGGAGAACAGCTCAAGAAAACTTTGGTAAGTAATCAATAAAATGGACTTATTATTTTTTTTAAATTATGAGGTCTTTTTTCAACACTGCTGGCCAGTTTCAAAACTTTTGAGGGAAAAAAAGCTAAGGTATTTGCTATTGATTATTTTTTAAAAACTGTCAGATTAGTTTTCCACACTGGCCAGTTTCAAAACTTTGAGGGAAAAAAAATGCTAATGTATTTGCTAAAATGGTGATAATTTGACTTGAGTTACACACCTATCCGATGTTAAAATGATCTTTATGAAAAAAAAAAAACAAGTTTCCGCTGTTCATTTCAGGTCATTGTACAGATAATGGCATATCAGGCTAAACGATTTTTATTTAGACTGATTTGGATAGAAACTCAATGTAATGAAATGAACAAATAATAATATCATTGTAGTTTTTGTCTGCATAAAATCACTTTCCAATATCAAGAATGGTGATAATAATGTGATCAATAAAACAAGGACTAAATCAATGGCTTTTACCTAAATAATACATTTAAAGAATTCTTTCACAGAATCTGTATTATTGGATATCTGATGTCCTCATTCCTAACATAATGACAGAAGAAATTTTTCAGTATTTTCGTTAAAAATATCTCGAACTTCTAGCGCTTAACTCAGGCAGTGCCTGAGGTATAGAAGCGGCACGGGAGGGTCGATTTTGACATATGACGTGACAGAGCATTCAAATCTGAAGTCTCGTTGACATTTGACGTAACAAAAAACTAGCAGCGATTCAAAAGGTCGATATAGATGACCCACGCTGAACTGTCCCACCAAACTCAATGACAGGGGGTCGCTACCATCGTTCAACTATATGGTTTCCAAACATGGCAAAAATCGGAACCAGCGATCCGGTATTGACGGTGGCGCCCCACTGTCAGTGTCATGCATAGGACAGTTCAGTGGGTCTAGAGTCTAGACAAAGCGCAAATTATAATCGCAAAACAGTCGAAAAGTGGTCGAAAAGCCCCTTTTTTGTATGGAGTTTTGACGGATTCGATTTTCGATTCGATCAAAAACTGCGTTTTGTCTAGGGGGGCAGTATTTTGGAACTATACGACTGTCGAGTTGACAATATATTCTGTCTCTTCCCATCTTGTGTACTTGTCGTAATGTCTCGTTCTCCCGCCAAAATATGTCAAAGTCAGACGGATTCACCCATGACATTAGGTTTGTTTACATTTGGTATCGCTTCTCGTTGGCCGTACTTTAGAACTATAAATCGACCGCCTTTTTTCTTTACAAAGTTTGACAATGACTAAACAAATATTGTATCTTTAGGAAGGAGAGAAGAAGATGAAGAGTCAGCAGGACGAGGCTGAGAGAGAGAAAGAGAAAGCAGAGAAGCCTGATGATGAAGACGACGAGGACCTCGACGACGAGGCGGGAGACGCCGCGCCTGTGGTACGTACAATATAAATCATCATCATCATTTCAGCCACAGGACGTCCACTGAAAGAAAGAAAGAAAGATACAGTAGAACGCCGATTATCCGAACGCCGATTAACCGAATCGCCAATTATCCGAATCGGTCCTAAGCATAATATTAAAAATTAAAACCAAGTAATTTTTAATTTGTTTTGTTGGAACTCAGATATATTTTAACTGAGCGTTATTGTAGCAGTTATACAATAACGCTCAGTAGAAATATGTCTGTTTGATAAACATAATAAAGTTTATTATATGTGTGACAGTTCGTTTTACTCTATTACCAGTCTATGTCCGATTATCCGAATTTTCGATTATCCGAATCGACCCCGGTCCCAATTAATTCGGATAATCGGCGTTCTACTGTACATTTATTACAATGGACATCACACAAATACAGGCAATTACATAGACATGACAGTGGCACATAATAATAAAAGAAGAAAAAATAAAAACAAGAGTAAACTGAGCAGTGCCACCCATTCCCCAACAAGATGCCCACTGCAACGGGACCCCACTCAGCATTATGCCGTGGCCCACGGTGACGAAGGCCACGGCGCTGGTTTTCAGTGTGCCCCATGCCGAGTGAGGGTCACGGACCTTTGCTGCATAATAGTACTGCTGAATAGGCCTTCCCCAATGTTTTCCACATCGGTTGGTAAAAAAAAGTGGTTGCCGTATGTCACCTAGCATGACCTTGCTAGGTCTCCAATGATTTCCAAAATGACCGGTTGGTAGCGGCCTGCATCCAGAATCCAGTGCCTTCCTGCTACCTTTATGAGGTCGTCGGTCTACCTGCGTTTTCCGGTACGTGACCTCCACTCCAGAACTTAGCTGCCCCATCGGTCATCACTGCTATCAGTTCTGTGTATCATGTGCCTTGCCCATTGCCACTTCAGCTTGCTAATCCGTAAAATTGGTTTCTTAAGCCCAAGTCTAGATTTTTATTTAATTAACTAGCAGTTTTGAACAATATTTTTAAGCGAATGGCTTACAATACATCCAAAGGAAAATTGTTTTGAAATACTTACAGACACTTTTCAAAGTGAATGTGTAATTGTTAGAAATTTCAGCCAAAAATAACTGTGGCACAAATCTTTGACTGATTTTAAAGTTCACTGACCTCTCTTTTTCTCTTTATAAAGTTCAATAGTTTCCTTTACACAACCGTGCAAATATGATTTCATTTCCATATCCAGCCGTGCTATTTACACCAGCCTAAGGAAAAATTTCAATGACTGATCACATTGTTTATGATTTCTAACGCAAACCTCTTTTGTCCACAGGAGGAGCACGACGAGCTGTAAACATGACAAGTGTCAGAGACAATATACCCTCGGGTAGTGTGTGTGGGGCCGTGCATATAACATAGCAATGTTAGGATCATCTTTAGTTTGTGCGCAGAATTGTGTGTTCCAGTCTTTATTTATGGGGCGTTTGCTCGAAATATTCCATGTCGGACCTGTTATGTCTGAGCACTGATGTGTGTGTACATATTGATAGGGCGCTCAATGATGTGGCTGGTCACTGTACCGTCTCAGACCGTTATGACGTAGCACGAACAAACGTTGTGAACGCTGTCTCGATAGATGTCGCTGTTCGCTATTTTTGGTTGTGCTACGTGCATTTTCTTTACAAGTACCGATCTGAGAGTGTGACCAGTCGCGTCGTGTTTTTATTATATTTGAAGTTGTTTTGCGGCACTGTGTGTCGCGTAGTGATCGGGTTTGTTTTACAGTGTGAGTGCTTAGCCTAATGTTTTGTATGTATTCGACTGATATTGTAAAACGAATCGCAATGTATGATTTCTCATTTATGTTGTAAAATGAGTCTGATTAAATTAATATATAATTGAATAACTTGTTTTCTTTATTACTTCCGTCGTTATAATAATAGATAGATGGATAAAATAAAAATCGACGTATAAAATTATAAAATTTTATTTTCACAACTTCATAGGTTTGTTCTCATTCTCAGACCATTTTATTGTTAATTCTTTCCTCATTTATTGCCGAAAACTGCAAGACAAAGAAAATAAAATTAAATCATCATTTTACTATAGGTCGCGCAACGAAAGTTGAGGCTCACACCACAGCTCACACTGATGTATGAGTATTTGAGTATAGAACACAAATACCACCGTGACATTACATATTCAATACACTAGCTACCTCGCTGTTGTTTTATGTCATGTCTGTAAGCAAGACGGCACTTATCAGCCCGAGTACTGACGTCTTGTCAGCGCAGCAGATACAATTCTTGGATTGATGGCCTCAACTCTCGTTGCGCGACCTATAACAGTTGAGAGGAGATTAATATTGGTTATTATTTGGTATAAACTTTTCCTACGTGGTGAAGGGGTATAGGCACAGAATAAGTAATAGTACAGGTACAGAAGGATTACTCCGCAAGACGATTTAAATAAATGCGAGTCTTGCTACGACGCGATACAGTGGAATTCAGCTCGCACAGCACTACGTACCTACAATTTTATTCACCTACAAGTTTTGTCTCTTTCTATCGCGTGCCTCTGAACTCTTCTTACGCTGTTAGGGTTGCTGTCTAGTGAAAAAATAATTAATCTACTTATTTGTAATGAGGTACGTATGTAGGTAAGTATGCATTCATTATGGAAAACCTTCATAGTAGGTCGTAGGTTAGGTTCCTATACTATCCTAAGAATTATTGATTACCTACATGGCCAACATACCTTTCAGCATCTTTGGGAAGCGAAAAAAAAAGATAAATCCGGTAGATTACTTTTCGAATTTAAACACCCGAACGCCGCACAATATTTCTTTCTCTTTATGTCCATTTTTAAATATTACTTCTATCATAGAATTATAATCATACTACAACGCACGCCAGCGTCCTGACGGGCGCGCGCGTGACACTCGACTGATATAATACCCGCCGGCGGGGCGCTTCGCTGTAGGTAATTATCGGATGTACCGCGCGGAGTGAGCCAGGCCTGGTATAGGTTAGCTAGACAGAACTGCATTCCAACTTCCAGCCGTACAACCCGGTTGAGCGAGCTAACTGCGCACCTCGCTGGAATGCGAGTCTCCCTCGCACTACCTGACACCTCTCACCGCGTCCACCCACCGTACCAGAGCGACGATGTGACGTCACGGCTGACAGGTGCGCAGTTAACTCGATCGGGCTCTACTTCGTTTGATTAAATCTTTTCATATTCAGATGCAGTTTGAACAGGTACCTACTGCAATTTTTCTGTATGGTTGGAATAACACTCCTAGAGCTTTTACTGTCACTGTAGGGACTGTGGGAATCGGGATTTTTTAACTTGAATATGGATTTAGATGACACAGAATTCGATCTTGGTTGTTTCAGAGTCCGGCTCACTTTAAACTTCTTAATACTTACTGAAATCCATAACTGAAACAAAAGAAGATATTTTTATGTATTTAGAAAAGTTACCACATGACTGAAATGATGAAAATTTACACAAAAACGCATCGTTTTTAGACTGCATTTTAGCTACGATTTTATTATAATTATTTACCTATTGAACACAACAGAGGGGAACATTAGGCGATCTTAATTCCTTAATACAACATTATCTTCCAGTCGACCTTTAGGCGTATTAGATCAATTATAGTGCAGTGATTTTATATGTTGAAGAGATTAATAAAATAGAGCTATAAATATGTACTATAAAATAACATTATTAAGCGCTAATCTGATCCACAAATTAACTTTGTAAATTGTACTCACATCTTTCGAAGTTCTTCTCGAATTTCTTGGTGGCCTCATCGATTTCTTTCTTGGGCTCTTGTGGCGCGGGCGTGGTTGGTTCCGACTCGTTCTTCTTATGTCGTTTCCCCAGGCCCATAAAGAAACAAGGTGCCGGCGAAGCTTGCACTAAAAGAAGTAACTTTAGTCGTCAAAATAATTATGAAAACAATTCTTATTAAGTAATATTAACTAATATCAAGAACAACCGTATTAGTCATCATGAACTGCCAATGCCCAAAGGTGGCTGGCATACCTACTTTTGCCAGTTTTCACCATCAATCCCTAATTAAGTGACCCCTATGAAAACAAAATTCCTGTTAAGTGTGTTATGTGTGGGTGCAAGCAGGGGCCACTTAAAAATTAGGGATTGATCGTGAAAACGGGCATTAAACGTCTAAATGGATCTTTATGAAAGAATAATGTAAATCTGAACCTTACCTTCATTATTCAGCGCGGCAGCCACAATCTGTAAAATAAAAATTAAATTACCAATTATTATCAGCTTTACTTGTCTTACAACCCGGTCGAGTTAACCCTTATTCAAATAAAGGTAGATATATTACCACTTTGTTTACTTTTAAAAAAGGATCCTAATTTTCGATATGGTAATACTTAAAGATATCTTGGTCACTTATTTATATTTTTAAATATATTTTTTTACTTATCTATGCCATTTACAACTTTTCAACTTCATTTGTCACTGTCAGATAATGTCAAAGTCAACCAAACCGTTTTGGTGTGAAAAATTTCAAGTTTTTAGCGCGCGTTTTTAGTATTTTTGAAACGTTGTTCAACGAAAATTCTGATAAGTGTTTTTTCGATTCAAATTCCTAAACTATAACATTTATTGTATAATCTCAATTATAGGCAACGTCTGCAATTGATTTATTCATATAATTTAGACATTTTAAAGAAGTGGTAAATAGTTTACCATTGTCCGATCCCGTCTTGACAAAAGTCTGATGATATATAAAAAAAACTGTTGTTTTTTGTATGTGCACAAATAAAACTAAATAAATATTTGGAGAAATTTTAAGTTATTTTGATAACTATTTACGTAACGTTTTGACGTTACGTAATTAACGTAGTGGCACCAATGACCGACAAGAACCAATGACCGACACTTTATTTTTTGATTCAATAAAATAAGAGTATAAAATCGATTTCTTAATATGTCAACACTGTACCATAGAAAGCACACTTTTGACTGCCTCCCATTGACATTTAAGCAAAATCCGCCAATTTATTTTGAAAATGGCAGTATAACAACTGATTGCGGCTGGAGTACCGGTGAAAATAACAACATTTCTTAGTAAAATCCTTAGGGCAGTGAGTACATTTTTTGTTAATTACACGACTGTATTGTAACTTATTTGAATTTTATCTTTTTCACGAGTTANTTTTTTGTCGTAGTTGGGTTTTATATTCATTGAAAACTTTATTGCACAACAGAGAACAAAGGGCGATTTTAATGCAATATTAGCATCCTCTTCCAGTCGACCTTTTGTTGTTTACTGTTGCAGAGATTTATAAAAATGAAATAACTTTCTTAGGGTGCCACTAATTTGTAAATTGTACTCACATCTTTCGAAGTTCTTCTCGAATTTCTTGGTGGCCTCATCGATTTCTTTCTTGGGCTCTTGTGGCGCGGGCGTGGTTGGTTCCGACTCGTTCTTCTTATGTCGTTTCCCCAGGCCCATGAAGAAACAAGGTGCCGGCGAAGCTTGCACTAAAAGAAGTAACTTTAGTCGTCAAAATAATTATGAAAACAATTCTTATTAAGTAATATTAACTAATATCAAGAACAACCGTATTAGTCATCATGAACTGCCAATGCCCAAAGGTGGCTGGCATACCTACTTTTGCCAGTTTTCACCATCAATCCCTAATTAAGTGACCCCTATGAAAACAAAATGCCTGTTAAGTGTGTTATGTGTGGGTGCAAGCAGGGGCCACTTAAAAAATAGCGATTGATGGTGAAAACAGAAATTAAACGCCTAAATGTATCTTTAGGAAAAAATAATAATGTAACTAAATCTGAACCTTACCTTCATTATTCAGCGCGAGAGCCACAATCTGTAAAATAAGAATTAAATTACCAATTATCAGCTCTACCTGACTTACAACCCGGTCGAGTTATTTGCACACCTGGCAGCCGTGACGTCACATCGACGTTCAATGGGGCGAACGCGGACTAGGGAGTCACATTCAGCGTGGTGCGCAGTTAGTTTGATAGAGTTGTACACTCAAAAATTGCTTATTATTACTGATTTTATCGTAAAACCTAATATTACACAGGTAATTGCACTTTCTCCTTTATCCTATTTCAGTAGTTAACTTTCTAATGCTGTAGAAAAATATCTTACCAAAATAGCGATGGATAATGGAATTAATATCTTATAACTCGTCATTGTTTCACTAAAATATGTTGACAACTGAAAAATGTATGGTCTATTCATTTCGTTTTAAGGAGACCAAATGAAACGCCGATTTCACGCATTATAACGTGTATTGTCCTTTTGTTTCGATAGACATTTATCTTTTTTTCATATTAATAAATAATATACGAGCGGGCACTTTGTTTTAAGTAGTTACCTAGAAGGTTAAACTTAGGTACCTAGGTAACTTTAGAACAACTGTTATATCATAATCTTTGCCTTTTCATATCACACATAGCTACTTAGGTACCTAGTAGGTACGAGCCCTTTGCTTTTAAAATTATAGTTTTCATCATAAAATTTTCCCGTGACGTGGGCCACGTCACGTGGCACTCAACACATTGCAATTTGCATCGACTTTGGGATCATATCATCAATACCCTACTCACCAAGTATGGTTTTAAAAGTATCCACCGACAATTTAGCAAACAAAACTAAGTATGTCTCCTGTAAATTAGTTCTGTCGCAAACAGAAATTTATCTAAAACATTTTTATTTCTTTATCTTTGCCCTAACAATTTTACGAGGGCAACATGCATTTAAATCTGTTTTGTCATCCACCCCTATGACAATACAACCTTAGCAATTTCACTTGTAGTCCATTTGATCCTTAATGGCGCGGTGTTTCAAGACAAAGAATGCGGTGGTTCCGGCGATGTGGGGTGATAACGAGATGTGTCAACATCAACATTGGGTGGAATCCACCCCGGGACACCCCATCTGCCGTCGATGACGGATACGCCCGGTTTATCTTTAAAAAATAAAGGGTCTTAGATACGGTTTTATACTAGTGTAAAAGGAAGATGCCTAAGTTGATTATTTTTTATAAGTTGCGCACTAGATTTGTGACATTACAATAAATACGTAGGAAAACTTTTAAGGCAGAATACTAAAGAGCAGTGTCTGCAGATTGTTTTGAATCTTAAGATGTAGCTTTGATTTACCAATAATATTTAACTAATGGTGATATTTGGCAGTCAAATAATGTTACGGTCAGACGAATTTATATTGCGGGGATACAGTATTACAGTATTTACAGTCACTCTTAGTAACATTGGATTTTACGCTTTTCATGCGTAAAATCGTTGGCATTCGACACAATGTTGGAGGGTGCTGGAATTTACTAAATAAACATTCTAATCTAAGATTGGTTTTAATGTAAAGCTTATCTGGAAACAATGCTAAAATGGTTAGGTGTGCAGTCGGAGCTAACAACAGTTTTAGATATCTTAACTTTTGAAAAATCGACGACTTTTTATTTTACTTATTTTTTACTTTTGTTTGGGACATAAGTAATTACTTACACTCTATTTCCTAGTGCATTATTTTTGATTCGTATGCATCATTTATTTTCGTCAAAAATCTCTTTCTTTTTCATTCATTAATCTACAGATGGGGGCGATGTCCCCCGAGAAATGCTTACTTGGGCGAGTCTAACGACATTTTTATTTTGAAAAATAGTTTCAGCTGGGAACAATAATGTTTCTTTGTATGCGTCGCAACACTGTCACTTAGATCAAATTTACTATGTCGTCGTAAAACAGGTTTATGTTTGGTGTTTCCTGGATTATGGCTTTTTTATTCCCATCCCGGGAGGGGCATGAAGTTAACGTGATTGGGGTGACTATTCATTAGGGGCATTGTCCTGGAATCCTGGATGTATTTATATTTGTGGAACTAAATAAGTTAAGCTTGGCTTTAAGTAGCAGTGGGTGGAATAAATTGTTACTTGTTGTTGTGTATTTCCCAATAATTTCTTTTGAACAAGTTGTTCGAAGTGTATCATCGGGGGTCCAAGTTCAGACGAAAAAGTAGAGTAAGAAAATATAAATAAAATGCTGAATTTACTCCATAATTGACTAGGAATATTTTTGTTGCATTTGAAAAATGCGACTGAATTTTCCAAGATTCAATATCTCGGTTAAGATTAGGTATGATTCTCCCCTTGTCGATAAGTAGAGCCACATTTGAAGGGGTCGTCGGGGATGACTTAAGGCGGCAAAACAGAAGGGTGTATAAATTACAACTTAACTTGCCCACTTGAACTTGTAAAGTATTTGATTTGGTGTGTTTATTAGGTATTTAATTAGCTATAAAGTCATCTTACAGAAGATGTTAACATAATTAATTGCTTCATTAACGGATGTTTTGTCCACCAGATATAAAGAAAAGAGTGAGAAATCATGGATTTCAGACGTTTTATGGCGAATCGACTGTACCTTACAGCATTGGCTTGTCACCGAACGATTAGCCGTTGTCCCTTAGGAATAATGGTAACTTTCTTCTAGTAAAATATTCTCAAAAGCGGATCATTAAGAGATTGTTTCTTACTTTAAAACTTTACCTCTTTATTATTTTTATCAGCCAAAGGACGCACACTAACAAATACCTTCCCGAAGGATTTCCAAAACGATCGGTCCTGCGCTGTCCGCATCCAGGGTACTCCCCCTTCTTCAGATCGTCGAACCACCACCGTTTTATTAATATTAGCATTGTTTATTGAAACTATTTTTTTGAAAACAATACCAAAGCGTGTTGTATCAGCGAGTCGTATCGACATAGCGTCGCGAAAGCATTCGCCTCGCGTCGGGCACGCCAGTCAAGGCCAGCGGTGAACTCATCTCTTTCTTACCGTTGATGATTAGGGAAAAGTTTTCCGGAAAATACTGCAGTGTGCCTTTTTTCCTGTGATTCGGATTTCTGCAAACATGCTGATCTGGTCCTGGCTGGTTGCATACAGGACAAAGATTTCGTATATCATAGGAAAAGGGAAATTGTCCAAAGATTTATTTATTATTTATTATTATTATTATTATTAAAGGGCACTTAAAGGGAAAAGTTTTCCGGAAAATAGGTACTGCTATGTGTTACAATGTGCAGTGCTTACGGGGTTTCGATATAAATGCTATAAGCACTATTGAGCTTTATGATTGTTCACTGCCGTCGATTTCAAATAGACTTCGTGACCGGTTCGCTAAGTCCTCAAGTTTGTGCTTCTCTAGATAAAGTAAGTACCTAACATCAGTGAGACGGCGCGAAGCTAAATCGAAATGTAAATAGACAATGTAACACTAGATTTCGATTTGAGATTAAGATTGAGTCTTGAATTTTGTTCATTAAACAGTAGAAGCAGAAAATTACAAAACAGTAAGGCACAGACTTTAGCCACATATTATGCACAGAGGTTTTTAAGGCTACGTTCGTGTAATGCGCCCGGAATTTTTCAGATTAAATTTCCGTTACGGATTTTCCTTCACAAGCATCGAAGTATCTCACGACCTCACGACTGAGAATATTTTAAAGTCCTCAAACTGCATATGCTTAGATAATTTTTAAGGTTGTTTTATATTCAAGAATAGATTCAAGCATTAGAAATTTAGAATGGTAGAACTTCTGAAATTCAGCTAAAATTTAATAATTTCTATTGTGAAATGGTATGAAAAATTCTACCATAGTAGGTACATAGGTAGATTTGATTCTATTCAAATCAAACGAGCCCAAATTGATGACCACACGAGTGGACATGACGTAAATTTTCACAAATTCCCGAAGCCGTGCCAATAAAAATTTTGCCCGTTGGCCCATAGATAATAAACGAATTTAATTAAATATGGGTAAATTTATGGTAAAAAATGTAAACTCAATAAAAAATCTCATTTTGCCTTTCGGTCCCCCATGCTTCCCCACAAGGTATAAATATCGTATCGTCAAAATACACCAATTTCCCTGATCAGGGCCCTGGCAGCTTGGGCAAAATTGGCTAATCGTGGGGAGACCTTTTTTGACCGTCATCCATTAAGGGGAGGGGGAGGAATTGATGTTTGGCTTCCGATCAAGCTCTGTTGTTTACTTTGTCAAGGGATATTTGTACATAAATATTCTTTTTGATTGTGGCGATTATTTGGGTAGGGGACAGCGATTTGAGCTTCTCTATAAAGTTAAACGATTGATGATTCTTTTCATGATGAAGGCACTCAAAGCTACTCACAGTTTAGCTTTAAATATAAAGTCACAATAAAATAATGCTTTAATGTGCTTTCAATTATACAAATTGTCTCTACTTAACATTATTAAATTAAGCTTTACTTGTACATTATATTTTTGCTAAAAGCTTTATTACGAGAAACGATAAGTAAAAAGTCATGGCAGATAAGAGAGCAATAATAGAGATACCCAAATAAGAGACCAATAATAGACTTAAGTTAGTTTTAGGGAACAGTCACATAATATTTGGTGAAATTGATCAGTGGAAAATAGGAAATTCAGTCTCTACGGAGCCATAGAGTCTCCCATCAGTTTTATTATTTTTTCCAATAAAGTCCTCAAGTATTTAAATACTTTACATATTTCTTCAAAAAGCCTTTATTAATTATTTAACCACCATCAAAATAACCGCTCAAACATTTAAAATTCGCCGCTCGAGGCGCGCATTTGCGAACAAACACGTCGCAGTGGATGTCCACGGTGGTGCCGGTTCGAGTCCCGGGCCAGGCAGCCGCAGTGTCGCCGACCTCACTGCAATCTCCACTGACACACTGCCTGACCAACTTCTTTGCGGTTGGTTTTGGTTGGAGGCTGTACATTGATCGTTTACTATCTAGGTAACGAGTCGTAGAGTTTAGAAGAAACGATAATAACCATAGAAACTTAAAGCAACTTTATAATGAAAAGGGACTAAAAATAAAAGGAAAAAAATTTTTTTCTGAAAGAAAAACCCAATAGTATTCGACGGAAAAAGGAAAATTTTCGATTTTCAGGGTTTTTCAGGATATTCTCAATGCCGCGATGAAGTAAAAACAAAACATACCTACGTGACAAATTAAATTGTGCTATATTGTAAAATACGTACAATAAATATCAACGCAGTAAATAACAGCGAATATAGTGGTTTTTCAGTCACATTTAACAGTTAAACGACTAACCTGAACGATTTCAACGAAAACCAAGTCTGAAATTCAGACTTTTCCCGCAACAAAAAATGTAGAGGCAAAACTCGGCGATGGATTCTAAACGTATGTAAGCATCACGGTTACCTCTTGCCATAGTTCGGAGGAGCTTCGCCCCGCTTCCCTCAGAGGGCAGCCTCAGTCCCTCCCGAGCCTCCGTGGAGACCGCACGTCTCTCTCGCGCCACCTAGTGCCGACAAAAAACAACAGTTGCATTTTTTATCAATAAAAAACCGTGCTGTGTTTCACTTTTTGACTTAAATTTGGATTTTTATCACCGTAAGTACCACTTTTTTTTATGATTTTAGAAAGAGGAGTGAAAGTATGAAAGGGTTTAGGACTTAGGGTATTCGAAAGGTGAATGAAGTCGGGTTCTGCTATGCGATACGTTTTAGATTTTAGCGGTATTAGTAAAGCGTGATTGGAACGAATTTTAAATCGTTTTGTTAGACTTTATTGACTCTAGTAAGAGCATTCAGGCACACAGTCATGTTTATTTACACAATAATTCAAACTTAATTATTATATTGCATGTAATTGAATAAAATACTTAATTACAAAGAATATGATGTGGAAGTGTTCTTTCACCAGTAAAATTTACATTTAAAAATAACAAAAAAATTGAATGAAAACTGTATTATTACTCTGAATTCATCTGAATACCTTCGGGTAATTTAAAACTTAAAAAAACTTTTTAATACAATCCCCAGCTAGTTTATAATAGGCAAGCGAGACAATTATTAATTATTCGGACGGTTAATTTATCGTTTTCCTCAGAAATTTTCAATTGCGCAAGTAATTGAATTTCAAACTTATCTCAAACGAATTAAACTTCTCAGGAGAAAGGCCCACTGTTTATAATATTTTGGTAACTCATACAGATTACATCAATTTGACTGAACACTAAAGAGATTACGTCATAACAAACGTGAGAATTTGAACTGTGAATTAGTTGAGCAAGCGCATGTAATCTAGACTATTGTATTGTAATTATTATTCGACCCACAACGAAATCTAGGCAACATGAGGTATTTTTTTACAAATATTTTAATAAGCATGCCATTACATTAATTACAATTAAAGTTTTTGCTAAATAACATTTACTTACTCAATCTGAAATAGAGAACCCAGATTGTTCGGTTCCAAGGTTGCATCCATTTAAACTTTAATTCAAATTAAGAGGCCTGCAGTGCATCTAGGCAATTGAGAAATGCCTACCTACCTGGCAAACAATGATTTGATGACGAAAATTAGTTGTAAAACATAAAACAAAGACTGTTATTGAAATCTATCTTATGATAAACAAAACTGTCATTAAGATTTCTCAAAACCTTCCATAAGTACTTTAGAAGTGCGAGGCTAAATGGAACCTACTCTTTTGCTAAGTTATCGCTTTTTAATGGCGAAGGAAAATCGTGATAATTGCTAACGATTCATTAAAATTTTACATAAAGTTTGAGTCATATGTTTATTTCGGCCGTTTGGTGTAGTGGTTCAAAACGGACTACTATTCCGGAGGTAGCGGGTTCGATTCCCGCACAGTACAAACATTTGTGTGCATGAACATATTTGTTTGTATTGGACTGGGTGTTTTCTATGTATAATAAGTATGTATTTACAAAAAAAAGTATTTTAGTATGTTTATATCCGTTGTCTAGTACCCATAGTACAAGCTTTGCTTAGTTTGGGACTAGAAGCGCAGTGTAAAATGTCTAAGGATATTTATTTATTTATTATTTATTTATTATTTCCACATCATAATCACGATTCAGCCTCAGCAGTGAGAATATTAACGAAGAGAAGACAAAATAAATTTAGAAGAAGACAAAGCATTTTTTGTAAAAAACATATTTCAAAATTTGCTTATCACTACCAAAACAAGGCGAAGATTCATCGCCTTTTTCTAAAAAGAAGACTAAAATAACTTCACAATAGCCTGTTTCATTCAGAAGGGGAGAGAAGGGAGGATAGGAAACCATACATTCATGTCAATCAACAAGATTACGTGTTAAGTGTTTTAAACAGATGTCCAACTGAATAGAATTAAATGTAGAGTCAATGATGAATGAATGCTGCGATCATTTAATATCATTCTATAGAAACGCAAAAAGTAAGTATAAAGTTCTGAAGTTAAACTGGGCAGATACGAGTAAAAATTAACCTTTGAAGAAGGAGTTTTGTTACTTAACTGCGTTAGTATGTAGAGTTATCAAAATTAAACAAAGTTTGATTCGTAACAAAGTAACTTTTAGCGAGTTTAGTGTTATCCTCCAGCAATTTCCCTACTAGTAACATAGTAATTTACTTCAATTACAATCATAGACTAACTGAAATGGTTATTCGCCCGATGGGAATCGTAGAAAGTAACACTTGAATAAATAATGTACCGAGTCCAGATTCTGGGTATAAGTGATGTTTACAAATTAAATATAAAAATATGAATAAGTAAAACCCTTTTAAAGGCATACTAAATATTACTTTCTTCTATAACATTTTGGATCAACATAATTATCAGCTGATTTAATACTGATTAGAAAAGGCAGAAGAAGCTGATTTTTCAGCATTTTATATAAAGACAATAAATAAGATTTGCACCTAAGCATGTTAGTGAAAACTCTACTAATTTATAGCTAGATGATTGGTGATATAGTTAAATTTTTAATTATTGGTAAAACAATGTAGCAAACGAGTTTCCCACAGTTATTTTATGTATCCCACATAAAGCATAAGTTACACTTGCCACTTGAAACCATTGCGACACGTTTATTACTTGCAGTGATCGCGTGTGTCATCATCGCAAATTATATCACCTTTTGCGTTGGTAATTTGTATATAAATAGTCTCTACTACATGCAGGCACTCGATACAATGTTTAATGAGTTCTTTTTAACGAGTAGGTAACCTACTAATTGTAGTATCATGACAAAAGCGTCTTTTATTGGATTTTCTATTGTACTCTTTCCTATAATCATTAAGCTCTATCATTTCTAATACATACACTCACTCCCGGTTTGTGAATTGAATTTTTAAAGTTAAAAGGTATATTTAAGTAGAAAATAAGCTATGCTGAATATCTCAATTCACAAGTGGGGTTAAAATTAGCACTCACAAACTTAATTGTAATAAATTGCTCTCTCAAAAAATACGTAAATCTAACGTCAAAGCCTGAAAAGTGCTTTCTACGAATACAGTAACCTAATATCCAATACACAAGTTTCAACCTACTTTTCTATATCACCACCCACTGCTGGGAATAAGCCTCGTTAGCGCTGCGCCACTTCTCACGCTGGTGAAATAGCGCAGCCATTTTCTAAAACACATTCAATATCACGAATTCACGAGCATATCCTGAAAAATAAACTCAAGGAAACTTTCATGTATAGATAGGTTCTATTCATGAAGTTTTACGCCCATATTCACAAACAGTACTAAGGTCTCTCAGTGCGCTTGGACGCACAGGGTGACACACGAACCAATCACAGAGCTCTATTCAACGCTGTGCCTTCGATTTGCTGCTTCACTTAAGCAAGCATTGTTTGTGAATTTTAATTGAATTTAATTTTGAATTGAAATTTTGAAGTGAATTGTGAATTTTGTCGTTTGTCATACGGGCGTATGAGGTCTCACAGTGCGTGTGAACGCACAGGGTGACACACGAACCAATCACAGAGCTCTATTCAACGCTGTGCGCTCGATTTGCCGCTTCACTTAAGCAAGCAGTTTAATTTAATAGATGAGTGGAAACTCCACAAAGGGTAACTCTACATTGATTGTAAAGTTTAAGTTCGCCTTCTGATGTGGGTCATAGAGACACGTCGGTAATTGAGATTGGAACAAGTTTTCAACTAGGTTAGCTACTAGGAGCATCAAGAGGCTTGACTATTAAGTAAGAAAGATAATCTGTGATCGCTATGAGTTATGCAGACTCAAAATGAGTGATAGAGATCAATTCGTGTGATAGCAAGAGAGAGTTATGAGAAGTTATTGTTCTGCAGGTATCATCTATTATATTCTAATCTATAGACGATTACTAGCAAACAGGTAAAAGTAACAAAGACGTGTAAGTTTGAAACTGAAATGAATTTGGTTGAAGAAAATTGATTGAAAAATTTCCTTCGCTGAATTACGTTGCTTTATTTTAGGATACAAAACCCTAAGCTGTATATTTTCTCACAGCAAGACAGAAAATTCTAAGATATTTCGTTTTCTTGTAGTCCCACATTATGAGCAATTTTCATTCTCACTTGACAGTAATCCTAGAGACTGATGGATGTAGCTTCAATTTTCCAAAAGATTTATTAAGATAAGGCTAAGGATTTTCAGTAAAAGAAAATTCTATAGAAAAGGTCACCCTCGGATTTGCAAGGGCGGACGCGTTTCTTTCTCCCAAACACTTTGGTACTAAGATGATATCTGAAGAAGTTATTGAAATGACCGTTTTGAAGAAATAAATAACAGGAAAAACCTTTTCCTTTAAATTTTTTTCTGTTTACGCGATGCACAACAAATAATAGGTTAAGCTTCAATTAATTAATATTTAAGTCCAAAAAGCAAGGGCAAAAAATGTGACCAAATAAAATTGACGTCACATTACCAAAAAAGCTTGCTGCCAAAATGCAAGTGCATCGGTTGCATTAACTATGCTATTACGCCTTTGTTTGCCAATTGGTTCGTTGACACACGGACGGACACGTCGCAGCTCATGTTAATCGGCGCACGGTCCAGAATATTAATTAAAAAACACGTTCACGACGCACATTATTAAATCTGTTGAAGTGTACAACTAATTAACAGGCAATATGTATACTATGGCAGACTCGGAATGCTTATTTTGTTTAGCTAGAAGATGTAAATCTAATAATAATTCAAAAATACTACGCAACTTGACTACGTAATAGTAATGTAGAGAAGCTGGATCCTAAAAAACTCTGTTAATTAAAACTATAAGGTGAGAAATTTGAAAAAAATTAATAACTTCGTTTTACTGGTTTTGTGAAAAACGCCGTTTTAAAAATCATAAATATTTGGAATAATCTTGAAACAGCGCGACCAGAAGAACCCGACTGGTTTTTAATGGGTAGGCCGTGCCCTTCTGGCAGGGAGAGCCCCACTGCCATTTTGGTTGGTTTATAAGAGTAGATTTTTTTTGTTTAAAAGATAACTCTACCAAAAATATTTTGTTTACCACCCGAAGAAACTGTAGCCTCCATGACTTTATGGTATATTTCTGAAAACTTTTTATTTCCACATTGTCATATCTTAAGATATTATCTTAATAA